TCGCCACGGGTGAGTAGAGTACATTGTTTGTCGAGCCCTGCTAATAAGTGTTGATGGATCTAACCTCCATGAATGTATCTAGTTCTTTTTTGAAACCTATTAAAGTCCCGCTCTTCGCAACTTCCTCTGGCGAGGAGTTCCACAGGTTGACTGTGTGCTGCAGGAAGAAATACTTCATTTTGTTTGTTTTAAACAAGCAGACGCCACGGGTGAGTAGAGTACATTGTTTGTCGAGCCCTGCTAATAAGTGTTGATGGATCTAACCTCCATGAATGTATCTAGTTCTTTTTTGAAACCTATTAAAGTCCCGCTCTTCGCAACTTCCTCTGGCGAGGAGTTCCACAGGTTGACTGTGTGCTGCAGGAAGAAATACTTCATTTTGTTTGTTTTAAACAAGCAGAGGCTATGTCCATCACGCCCCTCAAATCTTGCTTAACGAATGGGGTGTGACCTGGTGGAAGTGACAAGGGGCTGCCCTCTGGGTCACAGCCCACTGGCTACAGGGTCACATTGCCAGCCCTCCAGTTTCATCCTGGCGTCTCCACGAATTAAAGATTGATCTTTAATTAAAGATTATGTCATGTGATGAAACCTCCAGGAGTACATCTAACCAACATTGGCAGCCTTATAATGGGGCAGAGAATTGCCAAAATCCCACATTCCCAAGTCTGTGTCAGAGCCTAAGCAGAGAGGGAAGCAAAATCTCATCTCCCTGCTAGTGCCACCACATCCTCCCTTGCCCCAGCCTAGTTCTTCCCCCACTCCTCCTTCTCTCCTCCCCAGACACGCTGCGGAAAGCCCTGTCTTTGGACACTGGGCTGTGCTTATATAGGCATTAATGACCACTGAGCGCTGTGGGGAAAAGACAAGAGAAACACTCACACCGTCAACTTTTTGCCTAGGCACCCCCAGCATCAGAACCCACCCTACACCCAGGACTAGTCCCCAACCCCAACACTCCCCCATCCCTACAGCCACCACCACGCAATCACCTGTGTTTTCTTGCCTTAATATCCCTGCCCCCAATCCTTCGGGGCTGCAAAGGGATGAAAGAATTTGGGTGGGTCATAGCAAGAACCTGCAGGCAGCTTAAAGAGTCCAGGTGAAAAGGGGTGAAGAACCTCATACTATACGATCGTGATCAAAGGGTTTATAGCAGGGATGGACAATAAGTGGTCTGCAGGCTTGATGCAGTTTGCCAGGGCTAGCCTGTGGCAGGCCGCCAAATGTTTATTTAATAAGGATGTTAAGTATCGTGTAATTCACGAATCGAACAGTCGATGCATTTTTGCATTGATTAGTCGACAGGGAGGCGCTGCCCCTTTGAAACACCACCACGGCATTTCAAAGGGGCAGCGCTGCACAGCTGATCCCAGGGACAGCACCACATGGAGGGTTGTGACCTAGGGCAAGGGATTGGGGTGCAGGAGGGGGTGCAGTGTCCAGAAGAAGGAATGGGTAAAGGAGATGATTCTGACGTGGGGAAGGGGTGAAAGAGGGGGTACAGGGTCTGGGAGGGAGTTGTGACCAGGGGCAGGAGTGCAGGAGGGGCTTCCTAGCTAGCAGCCCAGTAGAATCCTCAGGTAGATCTGGCATGGCTCAGACAGCTCCCATTGGCTGGAAACCAGCCATTGGGAGCTGCGAGGATTGTACTGGGCACAGAGCCCCCTCCCCTCAAGGGGTGCGCAGTGCAGAGATGCTGATGGCCTCAACAACCGACCACTTTGAGCGGCGTGGCCCGCTGGGCTGTGGAACATGGGTGGCCCAGAAGATTGCGGCAGACCGGATCTGAAGGTTTGGTGGACCAGGTTCGGCCCACGGGTCGTAAAGGCCACAGAATGAAAGGTGAGTGTGATCAGATTCTGTAATCAGTCTCTTCCCAGCAGGAAGTACAAAGATAAGCTCCCACTCTACCCTGGGAGGTTTTGAATTTGGTAAATAGCATCAAGACCCACATACGCCCAACCAGGCTAATCAAACAGATGTCTGTACAAAATCCCCGGGGATCCCATCAGGTCATCGCCTATATGCTCATTGCAGAGCAGGGTAGGTAAATGGCATTTGACAAGCCGGTGCACGAGAACGTCCTGTCCTCATAAAAGCGAGATGAAAGGCA